TTGCTAAGGATAAAAATCATCTTGGCTTCTCACTTTTCTCTCCCCTGCCTTCTGTTAAGTGTTATAAGAGCGTAAAGGCACATACCTGCAGGATCAGAGACAACTTCTTCCTGCAAACTGTCCGATTATTGAATTCTACTTCTACCACTGATTCACACTGCTTGTGCTGAGTATATGTACGGTGTGTGGTATTTAACTTGCTGTGGGTGTGTGTTTAAGCTGGTGTTTCCTTAATATCTTTGCATTGGAGCAATGATTTTAAGATATTTGTGCATATGATAAATAAACTGAACTCTGAACTCTATATTTTGTGCAATTCCTGCTGTGCCATCTTTAGGTAGCATAAAAGGTATCACAATGTTTTTCTTTTCAAATACAAGGATGCAGAGATACAGAAAAGAGATTCCACTCATACTTCAACAGTGATTCTCTGTTACAGTGCCCTTTCTTATTATGTTTAGAATAAAGGTAGGAAAACTTATGTATTGTGTTTTTCTACCTTGTGCCTAGCTGATCCTAGCGCATTTACAGTAATACAAACTACCACAACAGTGAGGTAGAATCTGTGGAGCTTTAGAGGTGCTGCAGACCAGCTAGCTGAGTCACCTGACTAGATTTATCACTGGATTTGTTTGCTTGCCTGTTCATACTATACAGCCTTGGAGTGCTGGAAGTCTAGAGAGAAGGTGGCTTGAATCCTAAAGTGGGATGAGCTGCACATGTGGCACTCCTTATAAGAGAAAGAAGGCCCTTAACGTCATACTTTAGTCCTCAGAGAAACGTGTTATCTCTTTGCAGTCAAGCTTTGCTGATGTGCCAAGCAAGAGCTCAATTAGGGAGTGTCTCATAAAGTCTAGGCCTTTCACCATAACATTCTAGGCCTCTTCTATAATTACATATCATTACACTTGAGTGCTAACTGTTCTGCCCAGTGACTTTAATTATCTTTTATTCATTTTTATTTACCTTGGCTACATTGCAATAAACACTGACACAAATGTACAAAGAAAAAAAATGGAATAGAAGAAGCTAATTAATACAATAGATGCCCAGGCACGCCCTGCAGGCCTGTGGGGATTTCTGGTTTAATGTAATCTGAAATCTCTGGGTACAAGATCAGGTTCAACACTATTGATGAATCACCCAATCTATAACTACATTTCTGATAAGAAAAACCTCGCACCTTCCTTCCCATACACAAGGAGAAAAAAATCACTGTACCCAATTGAGTTGTGAAAACATCCTATCATCTTAGCATCCAGAATATGGTCTGGGAATTTATTTCATGCATAGATAATTCCCTGTATAAAAACTTCTTTCCTTTACCAGTTGAAAATCAAGGTGTAAAATGTTATGGCCATTGCTTAAATTAGTTAAGAAAGCCAAACGAGGTAAATGTTAATTAAACTGAATAGATTTAAATTCAGGTTTTGGCATTGAGTCACTTTAGAGTATAAGTGTCCTTTCATAAATACAAGCCACTGTACATTTGTTGTTTTGAATTCTCCTAAGAACATTGGAATATTGGAATGACTTTAGACCAGATTCCAATCTGTAATACTGTACCTAAGAGTAAAAAGTGGTACAAATTCACTATGTGTTTCATAATTGTATAAAGCATTGACTTTCAAAACTCAACTCATGTTAATATCTGTGTCAATGCAATTTAATATAACCCATTTGTGATCTGTATCAGAAATCTGGCTGCGAGAGTTAGCCTGGGGCAGCTGCATGAGCTGTAATTCCAAACCAAGGCATCAAGCTTCTACGCGCAGATCCCTGGGCACTATGAAATACCATTACCAGCAGTATCACTTAGTTCACTCATACCAGCATCAGGATGAAAACTGTCATTGTGCTACATAAAATTTGACTAGACTCCTAGGAATGCACCAAGAAAGAATTTATTTTGGAGGGTTCAATTTGCAACATTCAAAGAGCAGAAATATCAAAGATTAATTTGTACATTTTGTTTTATTTGTGCTTAGGAATTAAAACTGTTAATATATATTTGAATAATGAAGACTAATTTCTAGGTAATAGAATTGACTGTGTTGACATGTATTTTATTGACCCAGGGCCCAGCACCATGATGTAATTATAAATATAAAATAGGAAGTAAAGTATTCAGCCGCCTTGAGTACTGAGGCAATGAGATTTGTATTTTCTTCCCTTGCTTGTGTTGTTTTCCTTTGGGTGCTCCAGTTTCCCCCTCAAAACAAATACTCTTGGTTAATTGGCTTCTGGTAAAATTGGCCCTAGGTGTGAGTTTGTGTGTTTGTGCGCATACAGGATGTTTCCCACTCTATTCCCATTGCTTGCTGGAATAGGCCCTGGTTCCATTATTATTATTGAGATAAATAATTAATATTATACAATTGAGATGTTTTAAACTTATAAAGTACCTCACACTTACTGGACAGATTCTTGTTTATTTTCTTTTTGTACTTCTTTCTTTTATTTATTTCAAGGACACCTTTGTCTAAGGCAAGAGGTAAATACAATCACCTTAATACAAAAGTGAAAATGAGATATTCAGTTACTGTATAATAGGAGTAGTAGGATGTATAAAAAATAAATTGTTTTAGTAGTTTTAGTAGACAGATTCAAATAATAATAAACCTGATTCAAACATTCAAAATCTTCAGAAGCAAAAGTGGAACAAGAACCAGAGGAAACAAGTGGAAATTACAGTTTAAAGCTGAAAACGAAAACACTTTTTACACAAAAGCTTGTGAGAGTCTGGAAGAAGCTATTCTGCCATGTTGCTGAATTTGATAACCTGGCTTCTTTCAGGAAACACCTGGATTATGTTTTAGAATCATGCAGCTATGACAAAACCAAATGGGTCCAAATAATACCAGAAAACAAGAAACTAACATGATAGATCCAATGTTTTTTTTTAGTTTTAAGGTTTAAAATATTTTATATAATAAGTGCAGGCCACAGTAACTGAGACTAAAATATCATTTTACTTTTAATTGTTTGGCGCCAGATTTAGTCTCGAGGGCCTTTCTAATTCTATGATGGTTATTCTTTCACATATGGAATTATGTTGTTAGTCATTTTCATGAATTTAAATTCTTGCTTTAAGTATCTACTGTAGCTACAGTATCTAGAAACAAGAGACAAGGCCTAATATCAGTAAAGACAAGACTGAATGTAAAGATGGAAAAGTACACTTCAGTGATATTAAAAATAACAATGACTTGCAAAAAAAACAATAGGTTTTTGAACTAGGTATTAATAGTAGCATTATTTAACTTTTTCCTTGATTTGATCACCTGACATGTTCTTCTGTTTGATTAGAGTGTATATAAAAAGAAAACTCAGTACGTGGCACCTTCTGTGTTCTGATTACATTATGTCTATATTGAATACGCACAGCATTTAGTGCCCAGAGTTTGATGAAAGATCATTTTTGAATGTCATGAATGTAAAAATGATTATGGTATTTTATATGGATTGGCCCAAAACATAAAAAAAGACAGCACATAAAAGAGAAGGTAGATACAGACAGCTACTTTGGCATGTGTCAAACCACCAGCTAAAAAAACTGTTGCAAAGGTTTGACTTGAACTTAATATTGAGTGATTTAGAAGAACATCACAGATTATTGCATTGCATTGCATTGCATTGCATTATTGCCAGCAGCTATATCACTCTGCAACTCACAACTCACAACTGGCAACCCACTGAAGCTCAGCAGTGTGAGCCTGGTCAGTACCTGGATGGGAGACTCCTGGGAAGAGGTGTTAGTGGGGCCAGCAGGGGGTGCTCACCCTGCAGTCCATGTGGGTCCTAATGCCCCTGTATAGTGACGGGGACACTATACTGTAAACAGGCGCTGTCCTTCAGATGAGATGTAAACCCAGGGAGTTTCTCAAAAAGAGTAGGGGTGTAACCCTGGTGTCCTGGCCAAATTTCCCATTGGCTCTTACCAATCATGGCCTCCTAATAATCCCCATCTATGAATTGGCTTCATTACTCTGCTCTCCTTCCCCACTGATAGCTGACGTGTGGTGAGCATTCTGGCGCACTAAGGCTGCCGTTGCATCATCCAGGTGGATGCTGCACATTGGTGGTGGTGGAGGGGAGTCCCCATTACCTGTAAAGTGCTTTGAGTGGAGTGTCCAGAAAAGCGCTATATAAGTGTTAGCAATTATTATTAACTCAGCACTCAAACCAGACATTGCTCATATATGAATATATCATGGAAAATTTTGACTAATTCTGTGTTTGAAACTAGAAGGAGATACCAAACATTTGAACATTAATCAGAAAGGGCAGTTCTGAAATAAGCCAACCATTGATAACAATCTGTTTTAAAGTCCTTCTTCAATAGAGTATCAACATGCTTTGACATTACATCATACTTATGATCCCTTATATCAGTCCTAGTGATCCACTGCATTATGAATATGCTGAAATATTTCAAACTTATCAATGAACTCATTATATGGCATATTCTTTAAATTTCCTTAAAAATCTTTCTTTTTTAAGTGCATTGAAATATTTTCATTGGCCTACAATATGTTGTTATATTTGCAATAATGTACTTTTAATTCTGAAGATAAAGACAAAATTCCAGGTATTACTGTATATACTATACCAAAGGCTTATAACACAATGAACAAAAAAGAAACTAAAAGTAGATCTATTTTTTTACAAACACTGATTTTATTATATAATTCACATTTCTTAGGAAGCACCTGTTCGGTAGATATTAATAACATGGGCTGCTTAAATAGCAGTCTTTTTCAGCCCAAAATAGAAAAGATATTTTTGAATCCATATGGCCCATTACAATTTCCTATAAAGGAACCATACAATTTTATATTCAGACATCATTATCGTAAAACTTTAGTAGCTGTTTGAAATAAATATTAGCTAATGAAGTTATTAAAGTAGGATATAAAACACTTAATCTGAGGAAGTAATGCTTACAACAGCAGGAATTCACAACGAAATGAAAAAAAGGCACTTACACACTCACTGAAGCCGTTGCATCTTAACAAAAAAAGCAACTTTTATTCTCAAAAACAAACATGTTACAATCATGAGAAAATACCAGACAATCTCACTAGCTGTTATTAGTCCCTTATGATGTGGAAAAAAAAACTTGTTCACAATCAATGGAGTCTGTAGAAAAAACATAAAACACTGCATCTGTACAGTATGTGCTTGGAAAGCAAATGATTGACAACAATAAAAAAGCTTATTTTTATACATGCTACAAAATACGTACTCTTTATTTTTTGCAGTTGTATGCCAGAAGGTTAAGCATTATTAAAGAACAAGCCCAAACAGGAAAAATGTAATTAAAAGTATTATGTAAAAGTATGTTTGCTGAGTAATACGTACGTGCATATATATAAATTTGAATACAGTATAACAATGAAAAGTTAGAGTTGCTGTTATTAGTTTACAGTTTTGTAAACATTTTGTAAACAATGCTCAGCCCTTCTCACAGCCAAAAGAAACATTAAATGGTGAAATCTGAGATGGTTGTAAAAACGCAGAGGTGAGTTCAAGGTTTCATAGAGCCCAGAATAAATACTCTACTGTGTTCGAAGGGTCTTTCTGGATGTAAACACTTAGGCAGTCTTACTGTGTCAGGGATAAATAAGTGTCCTGTTTATGCAAGACTAGCTGGTTTCTTTTGTGCTTGATTATGACTCTCATTTTTATATTGGTATTGAATCAGCATAGAGAAAGTATGCCTGAGGACATATTTTCTTACTCTTCAGAAATATTTACTGACAGTATAAAATAAATGAACCTTTTGCCAAAAACTGAATGCCTCCCTGAAGCTTTTACTGAAACATTATTAATTATCTGACCCATTCATCAGTTGAATTGAAAAACTCTGGGGCATTGTGTGAATGGATGTTGGGAGACCAGTAGGTAGCACTCTTAATTACTGGCTACAAAACAAACCATTTCCATAGTATGATCATAAGAAGCATTGCACAGTAGGTTTCCATCTTTCTATGGACATTTAGTATAACATTTTTCGGAGTGACAGAAAAAACACTCAATGCTATACTTGTTATTGATTAGATTATTAATATGATTATTCTGGGCAGATTCTAACCAACTCTTTTGGTGATTCCCATTGTCAGGCTATTTTTAAATATGTTCTGCTAAAGGAAAGGCATGAACGCAATAAAATCAAGGGTTGTGTTTTAAAGCACAATGAGACCCTTAAAAGCTGTGAATGGTTCTATATAAATTTAAAATGAATTGGTTGGTTTCTTAGGGATATCATAGACATGTCATAGAGGTCCTGCTTAAGGTAGCTCTTGACTCATAAGTATTGCTAATAATGACATTAGCTGATAATTATCAGTTACCAAAACCTTGAATCACAATAGTTTGCAGTATGATGTGTTATTTTTCATCTGAGCCACTTGTTCCAAAAATTAATCAGGCTGTTGATTAAAACACAAAAACAGAACTGAAGTGCTTCACTGTACAAACATACAAAAGAATTCTTACATTGGTTTCCCAGGTTGCTGCCTGCAGCCTTATTAAATTACATTATACAGAACTTTTAAAAAATTACTTTTTATATGTATACAAAAACATATTAATATCTTCAAAAGCCCTTCTCAGCAACAATAATTAAAAAAAAATAATGATTACAAATATAGTACCTTTTTTTCTTAAATAGGTAACAGTTCACCTTGGCAGTATTCTTTTCATTAGACGTGTAACCAGACACTTGGTTTTAAGTGCTGATGAAAATGAATACCAAAAATCATGAATGGTACACTTCTACCTATCACATCAAATAAATAAATTTAAAATACATTATGAAATAGCAATTACTCGTGTAAAATAGGCCAGGCCACGATGCAATGCTGAAATGGAACATAACTGTCATCCAATATGATTATTTTTTGGTATGACAAAGCAAAACGCTTCTTAAAATGGCTTGGGGTGGTTGTGGAAATTTTGCAATAAATAATACATTATATATTTAACATTTTTTAAATTTTATACACACTTATGGATTGCCATCAAAACCAGACCCAAAGCATTTTCAATAAAATTATAAATGTACCCGTTATTCAGAATTAAAGCCAATAGGTAAACAAGTTTAGGTCTCAATAAACTGTGATAAGGTCAGTGGGTAAAAGAACTGAAGAAAAACAGGCCAGCACACAATTCATAAACACAATAGACTGTATCTGGATTCCATTGCTTGTAAACCTACGTAAATCATCAAGTGAATTTCAATGCCTGTAGTTTTAACAGTTGGTGTTTTTGTGCACTAAGTCAAAGTTGTATTAGGTAGCTAATATGATTAGCGAGGTAATATGAATACCCAAAATGGATTACAACTGCTGTTCTTATCTCACATCCCAAAACGGAAGGGTGTTCATTCAGAAACATATACTGTATGACTGTATTACTGGTCAGCCCTAGCTATATCACACTGACGTGCCCCAGGAAGAGTGGACTAGCTGTCTGTGGCCTGTAACTTTAATATACTACATATAAAGTTGCAAGGCAGTTCCATCTTCTCTAGGGTTATGACTGGATGAAGAGCCAACTAATATTCATATCCATAATTCACTGCATGTTCTTCTCTTATTTTCCACCCTAACCTGGAATGATGCTCCTTCTAATAGCTACACTGTAGTTTGCCTAATTTAATTTATGTATAGAATTATTTGTGAGTTATCATCAAACCTTTCTGTAATTTGATTAGTTTTCCATACATACAATTGAATGTAAATGAATCAAAATTGGATATTGGTATAAGCATAATGATAGTATAAGCATAATCATGGTTCAGCTACAATACAAAATTTGGAATGCATAACTGATAATAGAGACAGAATAATTAAAAATCAAGTGCAGCTCACAGAGAAAAAAATTATACCCAAGATCTTGTTTAATGGGCAATGTAAACATTCATTACTGGATGTCATGAATATACTGTATAATACTTGTAAGATCTAAAATAAATTGAGGGGATATCAAAATATAGGCCAATTTGGTAAGGGTTAGGTAGAAGTTTCTTTGAGGTCCCAGTTAACATTGACAAATGCAGGGCTTTGAGGACCATCCGATAGGTCCATAGAAACAAGCACAAAAAAGAAAACATTTTTTTTACTATAAAAGGGTCACAGCATTTACACAAGTAGTGAAGCTTTTCTTTCAGCACAGCCTGTGATTCTGACTTTCAGAATTGATCATGCTTACAATTATGCTCTCATGCATAATTATCACGGTTATTTAATCATTATCAGTGTATAATTAAAATGTTTAAACTGAAGATGTATTTACATCTGATTATATTCTCACCTGTATGGTTGCATTTACCCTTGTAGTTAGTTTTAATTTTTTTAATTCAATTTGCTATTTTTTATTCCCACCAGAGTGGGAACTGCCAATTGTTTCATGTCTTGGCTCATAGCTAGTGACATGACGCTGACACTTGATATTTTGAAGATAACCTGCACTTAGGTTACTGCCTTTACCAGTTACCAGTAAAAAAAATCTGCAGACTCCCTAAGCTTCACACGGTAAACATGTCTACACTGCCTGGTTGTACAGTCAGAGAAAGGGTTAAGGCCACAGTGATACTCTACTAGAATTCTTAAGTACAAATTCAAATGTTTCTCTCATAGAAATAATATGCATAATCATGATTCAAAGTCAATGTTTTTGGTTTAGAGATTAGACAGTTAGGACCAGGGATGAAACGTTATCACAGTACAATTTGTGAGACCTGTTTCAGTGCTACTGTAAATTTAGCCTCCCTTTCTGTTATTTTACAGCAATCCAGATTTTAACCATATGACTGGAGAGACAAAATTAAATGTTTACTCAGATATCTCCAGGCTTTTATTTTAGAAATTTTACCTTGAAGTACTGGCCTTCTTTCCTAATTCTTTCTACTAACACTTAATTAAAAAATACACATTGGACAGAAAAAATGATTAATTTCTTTGGGTTCTCAAATATATTTTTACATTACCTTAAAAATAAGTTTTTAAATTAAAGACGCTTCAAAATATTATTCAAACTTCCAAATCTTAATTACCAAATACATACTATGGCATCTGTAAAACATAGCCTCTCTTTCAGCTTTTTTACAATTTAAATTAAGAGACAAAGAACACACACACAAGGGAAATGTAAAACTGGTACCATTAAAAGTAACTGAATTTCTGTTAAATATATATAAAAAAGCAAAGACTGGCATTCAGTGCTAAATTTGCAGCATCAAAATTTAGTTAGTATAAAAAAAACAAAATGCTCAACTAAACAGCCTTGAAAAAAAACTTAACACAATCTATATACCGGTACTGTACAAAACCAATGCAAAGCATAAGGAAGCTCTTTTTTCATGACCTATTTAAATCAGTAATGTCCACTGTTTTGACACAGATTTTGCAGTGGAATGACAAAAATATTTGGATAATGTCTTATTCTTCCAAAAATTGTTATCCTCTTCACTTCACTCTTCATCCTTATTGCTTTGAGAACGCTGAGAAATCTAGTACCATTTTGGATAAATATTAAAAGGTCTGTGTACCATGTTTATTCCACTTTTAGGTTCAATTAGAAATGCAAGAAATCCTTCCTGAATAAAGGATGTGATATTCCTGTGACGATTTGTGCTTTATAACCATAGATTTAAATTAAGACACTCATATTAACTGCTCTTGATTGGAGTCTTACTGTTTTTCTAAAAAGGCCCCGTGTTGATTCTTTAAAAAGTCCTGGTGTTTCAATATGGCCGCCACACTGACTCGTCCATTCTTCCGCTTGAGTTTAGCACAGTGGGTGAGCTGCTGTGACTTCCATCAGCATCAACCCCATCATTTTGGTTTGGAAGGTTGGGGTTGATTAGAGAGCTGCCAGTGGAAGCACTAGTGCAAGGTGGGAGCATCCTGGAAGGTGAGCGATCTCCCCCTGGCACCATGGAGAATTGGTAGGACCCAGAGGATGCTCCATAGTAGAGATAGGGTGTGCTGCTGGTCTGGAAGGGTCCACTTTGGTTCTGGGTAGAGCCAGGGTAAGGCGGCGGCAGGTAGGTGTGGTAGTGGGTGGTTGTGGACATGCCCAGTGACATGCCTGACGTGACTGGTGTGGGCGTGTAGGTGAATGTGGCGGGGTAGTGCATTCTGGGACTGGAAAATCGGCTCTCGGTGAGGGAGGAGAGGCCAGCGAACTGGCGCTCAAACTGTCGAGGGTCTGAAAATGGGCTCAGATCTGAAGCACCTGCTGGGAGCAAATGGAATAAAAATCAGTGCAGTTCAATAGGTGTTACTCTATACAAGAAAAAGTACTGGAGTACGCTGTTAGACTCTTCAATTTTTTAAATAATAAGGTGATGGGAGAAATTGAGGACTTCTTCAAAAGAATGTTTTGGGTGTCAAAATCATTATTCTTTACACAGAAACATACATAACTTATTGGTATTCTTTATAAAATGTAACTATTGTCTAAACCATGAAGAACTTGAAAAATTTAAATCGTCTAAATTTTGGAATGTAACATTTAGAGAAAGTGATGCTGAAGCATACTGTACAGTATGTTTAACAAAAATGGCATTTTCACTTGGTCTGTTGCTGTATAACCCCAGACACATTATTTCTACACAAGCATCTAATTAATTTCTTAATACTTTGTGGAGCATTTCCAGTTTAAATATAAGTAGGGGTTTAAGTTAATTCCTTATGTGGACTTAAGTTAATTCTTTATGTGTCTAGAAGGGAGAATTTGAGCTACAGGTGATGAAAATCCATTTAGCCGAGTCATGTTCATCATGCCGTGACTACCAGTTTGATTTCTATTATAGTCTCCCTGCATCATTCTCCCAGATTGATGAGGGATCTATAACTAATATTAATTGATGACAGAATATGGCAGATTATTCCTTCTTATTGAAAATACTATTCATAAAAAATGACATCCCACTTTTCCATGAAGAAGCATTATGAAAGTAGTCATTTAAAGTTGCAAATCCATATAATTCATGTGCATACAGTAGGAACCATAGCCTAAAATGAAAACTGATATGGAACTACTAAAGAGTACAGTTTTAAAACCTGCTACAATAGGTGACCATTATTGAAGTAACGACCTAAATTGCACTTTGGGTACAAAACCAATTGCAAATAAAGATAAATACTCTTCACAGATACAGTATATACCCTTTTCACTATATTTTCAAAGCCTTGTTGACAAACCACTCTTCTTTTAGAAGATATTATTTGTCATATGAGCGACTGAACGAAGCACAAACAGCAGCACTGAATCTTACAAGATGTGTCACAGAAAGTTGCAAAACAGGTTAGAAAACACATATGAAAGGCCTTTTGATCTTTATTAGAGTAATCCGGTAAGGTGTTATAATACTGCAGGCACTGATTCTGAATGAAAAAAGACTTTAAGAAACATCAAAAGAATATAAAAGCAAGCACAAACATATAATACTATGGCGCAGGATGGTATGCTGGACTTTAGCTAAGAAGAGAACCCAAGTTTAAAAGAAGAAGATAACCCCTGTCTTTGAATGCAGAGACACTTGTTACGATGATGAACATGTAAATAAAGATTCTTTTAAAAGTAAGGAAAAATGAAAATAATCCAGTTTGTACCAGTTTCATTCTTCTTCCTCATCAACTTTGCATTTCCATTTTAATTGTAAGCTCAAAATACTACTTTTCAAAAGTACTGTTTAAGATATAAAATTACAATATTTGCAGCAATATCATTCAAGTTCTCAACTCCCATATCTGGAAGGACTTAAGAATCAATATTGAGTTGATTAAGTTTCTTTTTTTTAAGTGGCTCTTTGAAACCAGATATGTAACAGGACGAGATCCAAGTATCAAGGCGCGGTATCTTTAAAAGAGGCCACACAAGTGGCCCTGTGATCATGTGATTCTCCTGTCACATCTCCGAACTAGCTCCAATCAGCATGTGTGTATGTGTGTGCGTCTGTACACACACTGACAAAAGTTGGGATAAATCGGGAATGCACATATGGAAACGCTTTTAGGAAAAACAATTTCCATGAAATGCATAATGAGCCAAGTGCACCCTCAGATGTGGTTGCGTGCCTCCGTTTAGCCAAAGAAAAAGGGCAGATCTGCTCTTTCAGCCCTTCTGTTGGTTTTCTAAAAATTAAAAACCACTAATAGGTTGTGGCTACCAAAACACTGAAAAAAAGCCTCCCTTCCTAAAAACAGTGGCCTTGAATGGAGTTTTCTTATCATAAATCACAAGGCGTCTTCCCTGTCACAATGTCTGCTTTCCAGAGGCAGAGTGTTATGTTTGAAGTGCTGCAAAAGTCAGATCAACGTTTGTTCAATAACATGTGTGGTGAATTAGAAATGTTCACTTTTCTGAATTATCAGATCTTTGCCATTCAAAAAAAGGAAACATTTGTCAAGGAAAGGGCAGCTATCTTTGACAAGGAACAGGGCAACTTGTCTTTAGCTCAAATTCAGCTTTTAATAGTAAGCGCCAGAGGATTTTCTTTCTGATTGTCACAATCTTCTTCCCTGCAAAGCAGGACAAGAATTGTACAGATAACACCACGTGCATTCACTTTTGTAAGACAAAGGCTATTATGGCACATGTTTTTCACATTATTTAATTAACACTGCCGTTACTGAAAATACTATTTAACATTTTGAATACTGTTTTCAATGAATAGAAAAATAATAAAATGGCCTTCCTAAACCACAATATATGATATGTCAGCTACACTTACTTATAGAGTCCTTGTAGTTATAGTGGAGGTATAAGGCTGTAAAGAAGATTTTCCATATGCTCTGTTCTACAGTATAAGAGACTCTACTCTACCTACTCCCATTCCCCTGCTCCCCCCGTACATGTTTAGTTAAACTAAGCTTTAGTTTAACAGTCAAAACAGATTATCAGTTGTGTTATGAATGCTTTTCAACTATAGTCCCAGTTTACTATTGAGTGAAAATTCAGTCAGTAAAATCTTTTCAGTGAAAGTTAATCACAGAATTAATAAATTGGGCTAATTACTGAAACTGGAAATTGCTTGTGTTACAGCCGGTCAAAGGAGGTTGTGAAAGCTGTTTGTGTTGGCAGAATTAATAAGCGTGGTGATTGATAATGCCTGTTGACTCATGTGCAATTAGCTGCTAATTCCACTTAACAGAGAATAATAAAAACTACAGAGCAGGCCTCTGGAGCTTTTCAGTTAGTCAGCAGCTGGAGAGCTGTTCACTCGAGTGCTTAATTCGGATACTGTTGTATTATTTCATGTTAATCACATTTGCTAAGCTTAATCACATTTATCAGCAGTTCTCACTACTACAAAACAATCTTTCCAGTAGAATTCTCATGGGAGTATAGCAGGAATGGTGGATGTCAATGTGCAACCTAATTTCTTTCTAATGTATAGTGCCATTTGGATTTGGCACTGTTAACATTTTGCTGCCTGTCGTGCTGAGCACTGTTAACTGCCGTGCTCCCCAGTGCCTCATCAGTCATCTTCCAACAGCCAGCAACTTGTGTGCAATCAGGAAGTAGGAAGTACAAATGACAACATACACACAAAAAGATAAGAAAAAATTAATGTTGCCTAAGCATCGGTTGCCACTTCACCAAATGGGCTTGAAGAAACGTGTTTGCTCTACTCTAGTGGTCTTTGCTGGTCTTGGAGAGCAACAGTCCACCAGGTTTTATCACCCTTAATCATCACTTAATGAGTATTCATGATGCACATATATTTTAATGAATTCAGCAAGTAATTGTTCCAATTAATTCAAGAGTGGACAAGTTTAGTCCAGACATGCTGTGAGGTATTCAGGTTTTATTTCCTAAGGATCCTGAAATTAGATAATTAGACAGATCAGTACATTAGACTTAATTAAGTGTTAAGTTGTTCCACTGATATTCAAGGTCAATCTATAAATGCTGCAATATTCTGTGCCAGTATAATCCATCTCTTAAATTAAGGGAGTTGCAAAAAAAACTGCAGTATTGCCACCAGAATTACCAAAAAGATTTATTTCTTTCTTTATTTTATTTCTTTATTTATTTTTATGGAAAAGGTATGGATTTGCCAACAAATTCTCATGAATGCTGACTATGAAAACTCCATAAAGTCTAGCATTTTTTCTCCACTAAAATCAGGAATAAGAGTGAAAACCATAAACGTGTGCCTGTGATTAATATATGTAATATTACACAACTGTAAATTTCACTGAACTGACACAAGCAAAGGACAGCATGATTTTTGGCCTAGCAGGCTAAGGAAAATTATAACATAAATACAAATTTACAATTTTAAGCTTTAATAAAGTACCTTTGTGTTGCAGAAAAATGATGAAAATTTTACTTTCATGATTTCTTTAGCTTAAATCTGTGCTCAGCTGGTTGGATAATGTAAAATGTTAAAAGATGCAATGTCCAACACTTCACACCAGTTCATCACTGAAATTTATATTAATGAAAACTCTATAACATTATAACATAAAAGTCTATATATAAATATTATGTTTTCAAAATTCTAAATGTTTTTTTCTTATACATTTACTAAAAAAACTTAGAAAACACAACCCCAGACTTTGTTGTACTTGATCATTATTGTACTTGATGAAGCTGAATTTGGTGATGACATTGCTTGCCAACACATTTTCATGAGTATTTTTCTGAAATGAAAGTTAAAAAATGTCAAATGTGGTATCAGTCACATGATGAATAACCATATGAAGGTGACCAATTGTATCTCCATTTTCAAAAAGAAAATGGTTTTCCGTAGACAGAGACATTTCACACAGACTTCAAGGATAGTCCTCTAATCAGTCTGTAAATAATCTACCACATCAACAGTGTTATTTGGTCTTAACTGATTTTGACATCTACCTAACATACCTCACAGGAGTTCAGCTAGATTATCAGATTGTTAAAAAAAGAAGATCTTTGCTCTACATTGATGCCATCCAGAAGTAAGCAGAAAGTTTTAAGACATTTGAAATGTGGGGGTGAGCATTATTGTGTAGAAAGATTGAAGAATTATATCTGATTATAACTTGACTTTGTTGTAACAATATACAGTATACACAGGCATCAGTTCATGTTCCTACCATATACTATATACAAGTGATCCATCACTGCCAAATATGCTTGGACCTATTTTGCTGACTTGAGGCATCCTTGCTGCTTCATTTATACTTTGTTGGGCATTGGTGATGGGTTTGTCCCTGTTCTTGTGCTTTCACTCAAATAGCAAATGTAAATACAGTTACAGTACATTTACACTTTAAGTTTTGCACTTTAAATTTAGTGGGAGAGAGGAAAAGGTAGAAGAAGCTAGGTATCACGTAGATGAATTAATCAATGAAGATGACAGTTGTGATAAAGTACTGGCATGAAAAAGGATTGGGAAGTCTGCAGAGAAAGGAGCTGCCACACAGGATAAAGTATGGTGAATTCTAGCTGAAGGTTTCTGAAGGTACTGTACGTATTATGTGTATTTCCAATGATAGGATGAACATCAGGACTGAGAGGCATGTGTGTCTTTATGAAGAGAACAAAGCTCCTCTTTTTAAAGATAAAAGAGGGAACAAATCTAAACTAATCAAATTCAATAATGCAGTTGGCTGGGGTTCAAAGTGCCATTGAACCAGAGCAGTGAGAGTAATCTAGATTTCAGCATTGGCTCTAGGCTTAGTGGAAGGAAAAAAAGAAAATCCTTAGGAAAATCACCTGGCAGTTTGTCAAACAGGTGCATGGAGGAAAATCTGCAGGCCTTAAAAATGTAAAAGAATGGTCATGTAGAGGAGCACATATTACTCTACATACACATTCAAGTAATATGGAGTTAAAACCATTGCATGCAGAGTCCTCAAATTACCTTGAGTAATGTCTCTCAACTGTCACTTCCAATAATGGAAATCAGACACTCGCTTGGTCCTCAACAGCCCTGTTATTACCCATTTCCATGAAAATTCCTCAGAAGCTCAAAGCAACTGTAATATACTGTAAAACTGCAGAACCAACGGTCTCTTTCCACAAAGCCTGCACTACAGACAACTGTTCTGAAAAACATATTTTATGAGCCACTCCAGATTTAAAGAATTGGAGTTTTATATAGATCCTATACCACCTTCAAAAATTGCTTGTAAAAGAGGGATAAAAATTAATTTATCTCACTGTTGACAGAAGCTAATGATCACAAAATCCTAAATAATGGATAAGTAAAACAGCTGACATAGAAAATAGTATTGTTTTCAGAAAATGTTACTGTAGTCTGAAAACTGGAGTTTGTTCCATTATGATCTGCAGAAGTAGTTCATGTATTTACCAAACCTGTGTATGGTTTGTGACCACTTGACCAATGGTGGTCATTTTATTAACAATTCAACATGTGAACATATGACATAATGAATGAGCAGCCTTTTTAGAATCTTTGCCAATTTTGAAATGGTAAGTTGTTGGGTTTTTTTGTCAGAGGAAAACAAGCGTTTGGAATGCTTCTTCAGAGATTTAGCATACTGAATGTTCAGGTAAGGCACTCATTTTTCCAACTGGCAACACAAAACACTCTATGCCAGAGTACATCACTTCTCTTACTTGATATGTCACAAGTCCCAGGATAAGTAATCAGCACCTTTTTGGGGTTTTTTTCTTGACTCTTCACAATGTAAATTGACAATTGAAATTGACAAGGCGCCTCATAATTGATGTATTACTTGAATTACATTAATTTGCACAAACAATACAACTAATGCCTAATTCAAATTTTCACTAGGTCAGATTGATGGTCAGAACAGCAAATTTACATTATTAAATTACATGTGAAGACTTTAAATGATTTTCAATTTTAAATGGTAGAGTTAACGGCAAAGTAATAAAAGTACAAAAATTCACAATTAGGGTTTTTTATATAACACTATTATATTGCCATTTTCACCTCTTAGTAATTAAGCACTGATACTCAATCTAATTGCCAAGAAATTAATGTCAGTTTTAACATATCTAATAGTAGTTTGATTGGCCTCTCTTCCTGTCCCCTGCTCCCGCCTCTCACTCCTCCTCCCTCCCAACCTTTGTTCTCCCGCTAGTTTACCTTTGCCTACTGCCCTGTCTCTCTCACACCTGAAGAAGGCTCCACGGCCGAAACGTTGTGTTCTCTTTCTTCTTTTTTTCAGCATGGAATAAACCTATTACTTGTTCCTATCTAATAGTATCCTGGAATGTCAGAAGCAGCTGATAAACGCTAGAGGCAAGAAATGAGTGAGTTATGGGTAAAAGGAGGGAAAACAATTCTGAGAAATGTGCTCACTTTATTTAAATGAGAATGAAATAGCATGAACAGCAAACAGTCACACCTCCCCCAAACACACCAACAGAGACACACCTTAGCCCATGGTGTTCCTCATCTGAAGTGGTCAATCCTCCTGATGTTCCAAAAAAATGTTTGATTTAGATTAAATATAGTAAGCCCCTTAGCTGTCAGTCCTCCGCAGCTCAGAACTGCTGGCACATCTGTACTTGCAGGAGGGAACGGCTGCTCACCTGAGAGGCGTCTTGGCACATCGCTGATAGCAGGAAGCCCTGTGGCTCGGGTGGAGGAGAGAGGGGTTGTGGAGTGGATGGAGGGTGATGTCATTTGGCTCAGATATGGAGTATACGGTTGGTCGTAGGACCAAGGAGGAGAGGATTGGGACTGCCTGGGATCTGTCAAGACAATAAACACAGAGGCCGTGAAGTCTTTGCATTACCATTTCTCAGTTTACTTTTTAAATGTGCATAGCTTTCTGGACTGGTTCAAAATCCGTCCCATAATTTCTGGGAAAAAGCAACCAGAACTGCTCTGAAATGAAACAGACATGTTTAAAAGATTTTTACTCTTGAAAAGTAAAATCTCCTTTTCTTTTAGGAGGGTCATGATTGCAGTTTATAATTATTAGCTGTAAAGTGGATCAATATAATTCACATTTCTAGTAAGGAAGAAAACTATTTTTTCCTCCAAAAGGACTGGTGTACTGTCTTGGGTGCAGTCACATCTTGTGTCTGAATGCTTCTACTGTAGGTTGCAGTGACCCTTACCAGAAATTAGCAGATTTCCCAAAAAAAAGAATGGAATACATTTCACCTTTCCAACGACAATTAGAATGCAGTCATAGGTAAGAGCAGCCAATATCCAGTTGTGGTGAACAGATTTGTTTTTTATTTAACTGATGTGTTATGAAATGTTTCTATCAAAAGACCGAGGACTTCCTGTGAACTGAAAACACCCTTTTTAGCATTAATTTAGCAATAAAATAGTAAGTAGTGGTTGTCTGTAAAAATATAGTGGCACACATTGCCCTGTGTATTTAACATTACTGTGGTCATTTTCTTGATGTATGTGGAGATACAGTATATGACCCAGAGGCTGTTGCGTGTCTGGGGTTGACCGCAGGTGCTAGAGAAACAGCTCTGCTTCTTTTATCCATTCATTATCAGACAGACACTTTTTATTGCTAATGTTCATGACAGCCCAGCACCTATCCTTGAAGCAGAGGATATAAGCCAAGACTAAACCCTGGATGGGATAGTCCACTGGACGACACACACAATAAATTAACATAGCCAACTTTGGAAACTAGGAGGGAACAGAAGTAGAGAAAAACCCACAAGAGAACAGAATGAGAGGTTGTGAACTACTCACAGAAGGCTGTCCAGCCTGGAATCAAATCCATCATCCAAGAGCTGTACAGCAGCAATGTTAAGTGCCTTGTTACTGAATAGTGCATCTTGAAAATGACTGCACTGGACTATAATTGGCAGGTTGTGAATGCTGAAGAGTAAAATTCCAGGTGCTTTACTTTTACAGCAGTAGAAGCAAGTGTAAGATCTAGAGTTTAACACCATGTTTTTTTAATCTTGCAAATTTGTTCATTAATGCTACTGTACATATTAAACTGACAAATATACATACAGTATAAAATCATGAAATATAAACTATGACTGGAAGCCTGAGTTTCTTCAAAGTTTTTACAATAAGTGTTGTCACTTATTAAAAGGTGTATTCCATCAGGGTGAAAACTTATACTGAAAAGAGGGTTTGACAGTGGAATATGATATTACTGAACTCTACAGCACATACAGTAAAGCAATTAGCCCACCCTACAAAAACCAACATTACATAACAAAACAAATCAGGTTATTCTAATAAGAAAATCCTCCTTTAGCAAACAATTCTACTTGGGTGTGATTGTGGGTGTAATGCAAAACAGTGCTTTCAGTAACAAAGCTTTATAGATCAGTCTTGTGTAAGGGTTCTCTGTGCTGAGCTCAGCTTAAATCACATTGCATGGGTGTGTGTAGTGTGATATGCAAATGCAGCATTTAAACAAGTTTACAGAAATGTGCATCTTCCCCTTTTGCATGGTAAATGCTTCTCATAAACAAAGTGTGGAAACAAAACAGATTGAATTTCTACGGGAGTCTGCCATACTATCAGCCACATTTCTTTTTAAACAGATATGATATACAGTACTTATCTGCTTTCACTGTAGCTGTGTAGAGCTGATTCTGATTGTGTAGTTTTGTTTTCCATAGATTTGGATTTTCTATTTGGATTAGAAATACCTCTCAACATGAACATTTTTGTCTCCTGTAAAAACATTGCAGCTTGGCTACATATTTATAAAGAAAGCAGTACTAGCACTAGAATAGGCTATGCCCACTAATTGCAGGAAAGGCTCCATTTGACCTACAGTATGTAAAATAGTTTCACTTAAAATAGGTTATTATATCATACATCCTAAACATCTGCCTGCTACACAATGCACATCTTATCATCCTTGCAAAATGAATACCATCAAACCTGCACTTCATGTCATGCTCACAGTGTAACCAACAAAAAAAGACATGCACAAACAGATAATTATTTTCAGAAAAATTGTTTCTTCAGATCAGGTATATTTCTGAAAGTAGAAATTGTTGGTTTTCTGGGATGCTTTGAGAAGCATCTGGAGATGCCTCTGGGATCAATTAGTAACTAAATAAGCAAGATGGATGCAATATCTGATAAATGAATAAAGATAAAGTTCATGTTCCCAATAACCCCTGTTAAGGAATTAGACTTACTTGTCTATAAGCACGGGGGGCTACAGTACAGGATGACTGAACTGTTGAAGGTACTTACTCCAAGAATGCAGTTGATTTCTATTATCCAGACATCTTATGTTAGAGCTTAGGTTGTGACACTAGTGAACTGAGACTGTTTTTGTGACAGATGCTTTTAGCTTATTGGCAACTCACACCAACTCACTGCTATCACAGGTGAAGCTGACCTTAGCCAGGGATCTCTCAGCTCCCAGCAACCCCTGCGAGGTCCAGGTAACCATGAACTCTACTTCATGGGCTATGTGATTGTAGTGCCTGTGTGGTTCTCCAGGAGAGTGGAACTGGGCAGGCTTTAAGTTTCTCTTCCCATTCCCTTACCTGAGATCTGTGTTTGACCCTGTGGATTAAAGGAGGCTGGTGCAGGATTGAGGGATGGCCGGGGGTTCTGTGTGGGGACTCTCATTGTGGACTGACGAAGGCGTTCTAGCTCGCTCAGTCGTTCTGAAAATAAACCAGGCTTCGGTGGGTCTTCCAGTTTTTGTCTGTGTCCTGCAACCATAGAGAAAGATTTTCCTTCAACTAAAACTGCCTTCAAAAATATGGATTCACCGCACAAGAACTGTGAGGAACAATGCTTTGTTGAAAATCCCATTTGAGATTTTGTAGTGATAAAACTAATGGATTACAAAGAAAATGGAAACATCCATAATATTTTTGTGATTGCAGCAGGGGTTGTTTTTCATTCCAATAAAGATTTTAGTTAGTTGACGTTTTGAAAACATTTCCTCTCTTTTCTGCACTTGCTGTACAGTATGTATTTGTAATATCATAACACAAGGACTGCAGAAGAGGATAAAGACTTGGGGATCATCAAATTGACCTTTTCTCTTGGAGTCTTTCTTGAAAATCTCAGTTGAATCAGCCAAATAGTTTATTAGCAAAAAAAAATATTTTTAAAGGAGTCTCCTGGCAATACAGTGCTGAATTTGTCTACAATGCATTCACAGTCTTTCTCTACTTATAAAATTCTGCCAAGTATGCACGGTAGAAACTGTCAAGAGGAAAAAAATGTGCCCTCTTGTGGCTGACAATGTCACGGCAAGAAAAGAAAAATAAAAAATGTCAGAATTTCTTCAAATGTTATTGGGCTTTTTAAATCACCATGAAAAAAGTTAATTCTACTTATTGCTGATTAAATCTACAGGATATTTTTTTAAACATGAAACCACAGGTTTACAACAAATGTGTGCGTCAGTATTACAACCAGAAGCTTGCAAAATTGCTCTGGCCATGCATACAGCTAACTACACACTTAGAAAACAAACTCCACCTCTGCTAGACTAAAGAGATATTTTAGTCTGGAACAATTTCAGGCATTGAGCCCTCCACTGATATAAGACATCCCTGGTTCACACAACTTGCAAAGGCAGCTCATCACAAGTAAACAGACCTAGTCACGCAACACCCACCCCCTTCTTCACTCCTCTAGCCATTCTGCAACAACCCCTGGGTGAATCTATCATTAGAATAAGAGGAAATGCAAACAGTGACAGTGCAGTAAATAATAAAAAGAGGGCTACAGGTGCAGATACTGTGTGCTGGCAAAGTTTTGTGTCAATATAGCCAAAGAATAGTAAAGGCATATTCCTGTTCAGCTTTTTCTAAAGAGTGGGCCTGTCTGGCTCCCCTGAATGGTTGTAAAGTAAATATCAAACAGAAGAAAGAGAAACTCCTGCTGAACCTGGCTCAGCTCCAGCTGGCATGGGATGCTCGCTACCTCCAATCTTGCAAAACCTGATTGCATTAAGGAGCTAAGCTAAAAAATGTAAAATGTAAAAAGAAAAGACTTAAAGGTGCACACGTACTGTATATCACGCACCATATTTTTATACATTTAAAGTATGTATAAAGAATGAGTATACATGCATTTAGGAATTGTTCGCATATGTACAGCTACTGCCATCCCATACTGTGTCAAAAGACTCCAGACGTAAGCGAGCCAGTCCTCTGGTGTGGATAGGTGCCTTGGTTTAATCTGATTTAATTTAATTTACTCAGATAGTTCTCTGGAATCTGGAAATTTACAGAACAATTGGCTCTAACGGTTTCAAAAACAGGTCATGTTAGGTTATGTGAAGATGTCCTCAAAGTCTATGCAGCAAGTACAGTGATTTACATACATACAAGGATGTTCTGAACATAATATTCCAGAAAGTGGGTGTCCACATACAAAGTGTTCAGCTATTGTTATGTTTTGACGACAAAAATATTAAAAGGATGTATTCGATATATTGCGCGAAGGCTTAATTGTATGGAAGTTAATTGTTTTATGTTAACCACACAAGCCGTTCAGACTACTTTAATTACTACTGCTATAATGCAGAATTGTGGTTTTCTATTTCCACTTTTCAATATTGACAACATGGGGAAAATGTGGGGGAGAAAAGTGTAATTTATCTTCAATTGTTCTCAATAAAGCTTTTAACATTAGAACTTAGATTACAACCAGATACTTCATGCAGGTTTTGAGAGAAGCAGATTTACATAGTTCACATAATTCATATCTTACATGATTAAACAAGAATAATGAGATTTTTTTATGCTGAATAACAGGAAGCAAGACCTGGCACATGTTCCCACAGGGCACACTAGTTGTTTTACATACTGATGCCTGATTTCCCTTGGGAAAAATAAAATACATATATATGTATAAATGAGAACAAACCTAAAACAGAAATATTGTATAGACATAAAGAGCAGTATAAACAAGTAGGACAACTTTAAGTAAACAACAGTAAACACAGTCAGAACCTCTTTTTACGCTTTCTGCATTTCCTTTATGACTCCATATAAAGACCAGATCGTTTCTGAAAACTATTAGGAGGCAAAAAAAGCTCACAAGGTTCATCTCTCATTTTGAAATTGAATCTTGCTTGTCACCTTGAAACAGGTGACCAGGGAAGGGGTGAGCAAAGCTTTGAAAATTACAATGTCAGTTGAAACCATTACAAACTCAAAATGTATTCTTTTTTTAATTTTAAAAGGAGCAATACGGCAGTGTTACCTTTTTAATGTACCCTTGTAATATACTGATGAATCTATGCACACCTTTCATTTAAAAAAATGGACCTGACATTATATATTATATGTAGGAGACAGTCTGCCAGGAGAAGCCTGTACATCTGGGTCTAGAGACATTAGGCCTTGTCAGGTTGCATGGGTGTTATATACAGTACAGTATACAACCCAGGTGGCATGAAGGAGTTGCTTAAAAAAACAGCAGCTTTTTCCTAGATGGCAGGGATCTGGCTCTTGCCAGAAAACAGTCCTCACATCATCTTTCTCCACTCCCATTCTCACTCAGAAGAGATTCGAAGTATGAGATTGTTGACTTGTCAATCAATTGTTGAAGTAGGAGATTTTCCAAAGTTACTTTCATCATCAGTCCACCTCTGTTTGACCACCTCTCAATGGTATTAGGTTATTTTCTCTTCTTCACATTAAACCAAGGGGCGCTGTGTAAATGAATCGTCATGGCAACTTATTAAAACTACTGCCTTCATCACAATACTATAGTTGCACAACTTTATTAACATTAAAATTGGCACTCTCAAAACCTACAACTTCTTGCAGATCAAGGTCTTATTGGCTAAAGTTGGTAGAAGTTGGTTCTACCACATTTAATATGTTAAACTCACCTTACCTCTATTGCTAGAAAGCAAACATAAGTGGAAGCAGCCAGGCTAGTAAATCTGCAATGGGTAATAGCCCCATCAGACACATATTCATTTTTGGATTACTGATTGCAAGAGCAACAGACTTTATGCTACATTATGACTGGATTGAAATATCTTTAAAGTAAGTTGTGGGAATGTGGAAGCAAATCTAACCAATTTAGGTGGTTTCTAACCAAAGTGAACCATGATTCTGTAATTGCAATATTGAGATTTAATTTTAAAGACACATTAAATCCCCTGCAAGTACTGGATATCTACCAATCGTTCAAGCAGGTTCCTGTACCCTGAGCAGATATACTGTATTTTTAAAGGGAAACACTTCATTTCATGAAATGTTGCTCAAAAAGAGGATCAGTGTTTTGTATGTTAGCTATGCCCTTTCTAAGGAAGAAACAGTTTACAGTATTTACAGTATTACTGATGGTAATATCCATCCATTTTATAACCGCATCTTCCAATTCAGGGTCACAGGGGAGCCAAAGCTTGTTCTGGCAAGTAATGGGCACAAAGCAGGGTACACCCTGGATGGGACATCACTCCACCACAGGGCAGAGAGATACAAACACAGACACACACATACAGTACTCACACCAGGGCCAATTTTCCCAGAAGCAAATTTACCTAATGTACCTGTATGTTTTTAGACTAATAAGTACTCATTTACTTATTATGGACTTTCTAAAATAAATATAATTAGAGGTAAATAGTAACTAAAATATATGAGGACAAAAGAACATATCCAAAACATACCAGTTATTAATTACAGTTAACAGTCTGTGCAAAACTCTAAGCTATTATAATTCCTCAGAAAATGCACAATAAACATAAGAAAAACAATGGATTTCTTCAGGGATTCATGGTAATGGATTAATGATTAAGAAAACAGGTTGGATTCTTCGTTGAGGCTTTATTATTAGTGAGAATTTAACTTCTCAATGCCCATATATTGGTGCTTGCAGTCTCCTGCTGTTTCATCACAGATATGACAGAAAGTTATACAGTATGCTTGCTGTAGTTAAAGATGTAGAATTTACAGCAAAAGGAAAGTTTTGTTACAATGCACCAGTGAGACCCCATCTACAATACTCTGTACAAAGTTGGTGACCACATTTCCAGAACAAACAGTGATGTTCCGGAATCTGTCTACAGAAGACAGACTAGATACAGTACATTCTTGGGCTTAACATAATGTCTTTCTCCAACAATCAACACTGAAACACAAACCAGAAGATAATGTGGAAACTAGAGTGTATTTATGACAGAGAACATGAAACTCTTTTCTACACAGAGGATTGTGAGAGTTTGGAACAAGCTGCCCACCAAGCTGTTAATACCCTCTAATACCCTGGTTTCTTTCAAGAAAGTGCTGGATGAAATCCTGCAATTTCTTAGCTACAAGCAATAAAATGAGGTTGATGCTCCAAACAGCCTCTTTTCATTTGCAGCCTTATGTTCTTAAATATTGTTTAACAACTTGAATTGTAGGATGTAATCAGTCGTTCAATCATTCACAATGCATTAGTCATGTAAAACCAACCCAATCTATCCTGTTCTGGTCTTGAAAAAAGTGGATAGCCATTACATTACAGTATAACCCTGAACTTAAAGCGATATTTTTTTTTCAGTTACTGTATGTTATGAGCTAACTGTGTTATACTGAAACTTAAGTTAAAATTGACCTAATTTGAAACCCTTTTTTCTTTTAAATATGAGTACACAATGACTAAAACACACAAACTATTAAAAGTGCATATTCCCCCACATTTTATTAATCCTACTGAATTTGCTGTAATCTAGTTAATGTAATGTACT